CAAGATTTTTTAATATTTGAGATAATGGTATACCAATAATATTTGTTTTTATAAGCTCATATTTCCTTCACTGATTTTCTCTCTAAGTGTGATTTTCTCTTTTCTTTGTTTTCTATTCTGATGTAGAAATGCTTAGAAACAATACTAAGTTTGATGAGAAGTTATATAGTACATTCCTCAATGCTAAACAAACATGACAAAAATAACTTGTGAGAATATTGCTATTGTCCCTTGAAGAAAGGTCAGTTCTCCCTTCAAACTCAGTAATTTTACATTTGTAACTGATAGTATTACTTTTCTTGTAGTCATCTATTATGTTCCTTAGCTTTATCCCAAAGTAGCAATTTATCTATACTGACTTTCTCTCTAATCCTATCATGAAAACAAACAATTTTTGCCTTCACAAATAATTCTAAATTTTGTGGGATTATGGTTTGTGTATTACATCTATCACAGGTACTAAGATCTCCATAAAAATGAGTAATCAAGACTTTATTTAGAAACCAAACTACCATGCTCTTTCCACACATGAAAGTAAGGTTTGGGAACTGATGATCTACAGGCCAGCTGCCTGTTTTGTATAAAAAGCTCTATAGGTGGGTTCGATAATGCAAGGCTGAAGTCTCGACACTGTCAGGCTGAAACCAGCCTCTATGACATGAGTCCTGAGTTCGATCCCCGGCCAGGGAGGTGACCCATATGGCACAGCAGACCTCACCTGTCTTGCCCACTTCTTCCCTCAGTAGTGCATTTCAGTGGATCTGTGTGTTCTGCTTCTCACTCTGTCTCTGTCTCTGCACCTCTGGTATACACCCTGCTTCTTATATGCATAAATAAATAAAAATAAAGCTCTATAGGCACACAACTTACTCACATGTTCTCTATGGTTCCTTTCAGTCCACCATTCCAGAACCGGGTGGCTGTAACAGACAGTATGACCCACAGAAACTAAAATAGTTACTAACTGTTCTTTACAGAAAAACTTTTCTAGGCATTGCTCTAGATCAATAAATCAATAAATCAATTTTTGCTCAGTCTAGGATAAATGATTTGTCCAAGTTTGTAGTTGTACCTGTCCTCTACACCTACCTCTGCCAGATGATATTTTAATGTCAAATTAAATGCTTGGTGAAAATAATAGTATTTTAAGTATTATGAAATCAAATAATCTTACAATTGCAAAGGAAGATGGTTACTGGAAGATCTTCATGGACTTATATTAACTTAAAGCAAAACACAAATATTACTTTTCTAAATTAAGATATTGTCAGCTACTAACATTAAATAATCTAAATTCTATATACATATATATATATTACATATATGCACAAATATGTGTCTATTATCAGAGGATATCATAACTTTCATTCAATTCCAATGAAAAAGCTTAGTAGATTTCTAAAAGATGTCAAAAGTAATGATGGTCAAAGAAAATGCTTTTCAATAAACCACATTGCCCTTATGCTACTCTATGAAGATATAAACCGCATTTTTGAAAAGAGCATTCATCCCACTGGAAGGAAAAGGATACAAACATTGACCCCTCACTTCCATCCCAGGTCTCAGCAATGAAGCGCTATAGCAGTAAGTCTCTGAAAGCACTTTTTCAATCTATTTCTATTAATTTGATAGAGTCTGATTTGTTACTGGAGTCTCTATTTCCATAGCAAGCATCATCTGTCAGAAATATTTTAGTATTTAATGACTAAATTTGCCTAAGCTGAAAAGGTAAAGGAATAAGAATAGAGAAAAAAAAGTTTCCCTTTTTAGGCCAAAAATAATTAATTCAGTTAGCCTACCCTGCTATCAGAACTCTGTTCTCAGACAAAGGATCTTAAACATAGGTAGTTTAGGTAATAAAAATAATTGACACTTCCTTCAAGTTATCCTACATAATTCAAAAATGTAAACATTTCTGAAGTAGGAATAAAATGTACCCAGCAGGCTAACAGAGAAACTGCTCCTGGTACACCATATACTGCAGCAGAAAAAGATGAAGGCAGATGAAATATTACAGGCAGATATTTAATAGTTGTTTGGTACAGAGAATACATTCCCTATCACAAGTCACCAGTCAGTGAATCTTCTCATTTTTAGCAAAAGGTCATGTCATCCATGACAAGCGGATGGAAGAGGAGCAAGCAAGAGAAGAACCAGTTAAAATGGAGTTGATCTGAGCAGAGATCAGAACAGAATATGTATTTGGACAAAGCCAAGATGCAGAAGTAATTAGGTATGGACAATTCATATCACAAGACAACATATATGCTTCGTTGCCTGCAACACATAAATAGCCACCTATCATGCCCAATCAGAACACACATATTTCTGTTGCTACAGAGACCAGCTGTTGAAATTGCCCTCCTGTAGCTCAAGACTCTTGGGGAAGAGAGTCTTAAACACCAGCTACCCCGGTCTTCTCCTGAGATCTCATCTCTTCTACTTGCTTCTACCAAAGAACACTGATAGACCTACCCGGTTTCAACATTTTGTACACATGGCTGATCATAGGTTCTTTCATTGCACCCTCTGTAGGGATCAATAACATAACAAATTGTTTTCAACACACTATTACCTTGAATACTTCTCTTGAAAAAGGCCTTACAGCCCTCACAGGACCAGACTCCGTAATGGTAGCCTGAGGCATAGTCATTGCAAACTGCACAGTAGCGCGTCTCCTTAGCAGACTCCATGGCCAAGCTTCCCTTCTCCCCCGTGCTGGCCAATCTCTCTCTGCTACCCTGGCGCCGATTATCTGAATTGGGCCTGGAAAAAAAAATAAGAGAAAGAAAAGAAACCAGTGAATCCATTAACATTAGCAAAGCAAAGCATGCACTCTCCTCTAAAGAATAAGAGGCTTGGGAGAGGCAGCAGCGGATCCACTTTATTCTGACATTTTGAGAGAATGAATCATAATGTAAGCTAATCTTTCATTGCCTTTTGCCGTCTGTTGCAGCAAAAGGTGTTTGCCTATTATATTAACCTTGAGGGGAAATTGTTTATCGCAAACCTACTTAAAACACGGACTTCCTACACCAGAATATATTACCCACAAAATGACAAAATGAAATTAGCTGGTTTCTAATAGACTCAATCATTTCTTTTTTTCAGGATTCACAATTAACTCAGAACCATTAGAGGCCAAAGCTCATTCCAATTCTGGACCACACTGTGGGTCTTTAGGAAACAGAGACAAAGCCTAAAACAGCTGGAACATTTGAAACTCAGAGGAACCAACAAACAATGTAGATCATGTGTAGAAAGATAACGATGCAAATTGTCCTGCCATTGTTACCAGGTAACATTGGATTTGGGTCTTGATAACGTGACTATTATTTGAGGGCGCTACTCAAGACTCCACTTTAGAACATGCGGAATGAGAAGCACAGCAGAGAGTGAGGATTACATCAGTCTCTACAAATGTCACGGAGGAACTGTATCCCAGAAAGAAGACAGAGATTTTGTAGTCAGAAAATCATGGGAGAACCAAAGAAATGGGGAAGTGCAAAGTCTTAAGGCAAAAAAGAGCTGCAGGAGAGATTGGTCAACAGACCAACCAATCTAGGTCTGAGCAAGTGAGGCAGACTTGTAGAGAGAACAGGCACCAAAGAGCTTCATACATCACAGGCATATGTCATCTTCCTGCAAGTAGAAAAAGGATGGGCTGAAGGACAAGAAGAGGCAGGAAGCCATTCCTTTGCAAACTTGGAGAGAATATAAAGAGACAGAGAATGTGGTTGCTAAAGAATACAAAGACAAAAATGGATTTTTAGAATGGAAGAGACCTGAGGATGAATAATGAAAACTCAAGGAAATGGACCAGTAGAGCACGAGGGTATAGAAGGGGGAAAGAAGTCAGTCAAGGCAAGTGTAGCTGGGGTTAAAGACACAGGAGGGGCAGCCTGAGTGAGGACAGCTTGAAGAAAACAGAGGGAGGCAAGTAAATCACACCAGGCTTGCATCTCTCATCTAAACAGGTGTCAACAAAATCACACTGAGGGCCTCTGTGGTGGTGCAACAGGTGGAAGCGAAGCACTACGAAGCTACCACAGCCACAGTAGCACGAGTTCAATCCCCAGCAGGAAGTGACCCACATGGCCCAGCAGACCTCTCCTGACACCCCCTGCTCCCCTCAGCAGTGGAATTCAGTACATCTGCCTGTTCTGCTCCCCACTCTCTCACCCCACACCTCTGTCCTGTACCCCCAGTTCTTTATGCATAAGTAAATAAGTAAATCTTTAAAAAACAAATCACGTGTAGGGGTATGAAATCTACTAAGAACGGTAGAGGACAAAATGGGTGTATGGCCGTGGTATTGCACAGTGCTCAGTAGATATCAAGAATTGGCACTCAATACTAAATTGAAGTAAAAGAATAGAAGATTCCAGGACATGGGCAGCAAGGAAGGATAGACGGAGTGAAGATTCCTGTGAGGGAATTCCCAAGAGGGAAAAAGGCCTAGGAAGAGAGAAAGTGATCTGAAGAAAAGATCGATTGTCTGTCTCTTGGTCAAGGAGGTTTCTGCTTCCTGCTTCCATTCCCCACTCCTACCTTTCCTTTTAGCTCATATATTATGGCCCTTCCGGGCCCTGCCTGGCCCTTTGCTCTCACAGCAGTTCTCAAAGTACACTTGCCGTATCATTCACGAAACATCATTATCTGGGGTGTGCATGCCTGATGTGGTCAAGTCCTCCATTTTAAACAGCTTCACTCCATGTTGACAGCCCAAACAGGATCTCTATTTTTTAATATCCTTAGAGAAATACTAGTTCGCAGTTTTTATTCTAGTTCATACTCTGCTAACCACCTCACTCCACTTCATCACCACACTATCTAGTTCCCCACCTTCCCTGCAGCTCAAATGTCTTTGCTGGCTGTTTACTAACGTCGTATGCGTGGCTCAAGCCAGTAAGAGGCAGCTGGAAATATTAACTATAGAAGTTCAGTGACTTTGAGCAGGAAGGAGATTATTGAGCATGCAAGAAGTGGACAGATACAGTGTCCTATAAACTTTATTAAGTTTAACCTGCTGGTGGCCAGCAGGTTAAAGCACAGCACTGAGAAACTAAAGCCATTTCCGCATGAGTTCGATTCCCGCCTGCCCCGGAGGTGACCCACATGGCGCGGCAGACCTCTCCTGACCCGCCCGCTGCTCCCTCAGCAGTGTACTTCGTCGATCTGCCTGTTCTGCTCCCTCACTCTGTCTCTGGTGAATCCTCTCACCCTCTGCATCTCTGGCCTGTACTCCAGTTCTGTATGCACAAATAAATAAATCTTTTAAAAAAAAAGAATGACTTTCTCAGTGTCTAGCTCAATGCCCAGCCCCTTCAATGCATGCTGGTTGAATAAATGAATGAACAGGATACGCATGAGCAAATGCTGCAAAGTGTCAAGTATCTGCCACCTAGTTTATATAATAATTTTTAAACTATGTTAAAATAAACTAAAATTTATTATCTTAGCCATTTTAAGGGTATACTGAGTAATTTTTAGTACATTCCCATTCGTGTAGAGCCAATCTGCAGAACCTTTTCCCACTTCACAAAACGAAAATTCTATTCCTAACAAACAACTTCTGGTCTCTGTTGCCTGCTCAGCCTACCTCATTTGGTTACTCCAAATATATCACAGCAGTGAAATCACAAAGTATTTGCTTCTCTGTGACAGGTGTGTTCCACCTAGTATGATGTTCTCAAGATGCTTCCATGTTATAGTATGTGACAACTTCCTTCCTAATTATGGCTAAGTAATATTCCACTGTTTGTATACAGCACATTCTGTGTTTCCTTTCATCCTCTGATGAATGCATGTGCAGCCTCCATCCTCACTCACTGGGAATAACTGCTACTAACAACATGGGGTGGCAAATATTTCTGTCAGACTCTGGTTTTACTTCTTTTACTCAGAAGCGGGACTGTTAGAGCCTATAGTAATTCTTCTTTCAATGTTTTCAGTAACTGCCAGGCTGTTTCCTAAAACCGTTGAATTTTACATTCCCACACATAATTCACAATGGCTCCAATTCCCCCATGCCTTTGTCAACACCAGCTATTCTCTAGGTATATTTGGTTTTTGTTTTTTTAAGATTTATTTATTTGTGCATACAGAACTGGGGTACAGGCCAGAGGCTCAGGGGCGGTGAGAGGCTTCACCAGAGACAGAGTGGGGAGCAGAACAGGCAGATCGATGAAGTACACTGCTGAGGGGAGTAGCGGGCGGGTCAGGAGAGGTCTGCCGCGCCATGTGGTCACCTCCAGGGCAGGCGGGGATCGAACTCATGAGGAAGCGGCTTTAGATTCTCAGTGCTGTGCTTTAACCCGCTGCACCACCAGGGAGGCCCTCTCTAGGTATATTTGTAATGGTAGCTATCTTTCTGGGTGTGGGTATTACATCTTAAGGTCACTTTTTCATGAGTTCCACTCCTATCAGTCACCTCTAATTCCCACACAGTGAAAACAGTATATCCTTCTATGAACTCTAGAGCAGGAATTGTTTTCTCCTCTTCTGCTTCTACTACTTCTTGTGTTGTATGGTCATTACCACTGCATTGCTTTCTGCTAAGACCCCATGTCATAATCATCTTTGAGCCCTTTACAGAACTATCTTTACAGAATAGTACCTCGTTCAGAATGGGATCTTAGTTAGTATATGAAATAAATGAATGACTGAACCAATAAATTGATAAGTTTCACACAAAAAATATAAATAGGATGTGGCAATGTTGGGTTTTGAACTATTGGTAAAAGATGTAATCGCAAAATCCAAGATTCAAGATCTTTCAGAGACATATCCTGTCAGTAAAATGCCCTCATCTAAATTTTACTTCTAATGCCCTGGAATACTGGAATTTCAATGAAGACATAGGTATAACACCAGAAGGCAGTCCAAAAGAAGGAGAAATTACACAAGCCATATTACTCTCCATAAAGTAACTTTTTAGCCAACTGCCAAACCCATTATGTCCCACTGCATTGTCATTTATCATTATTGCCCAGCCATATTCTATGAAGACACCCAAAGCAGAATGTCATAAAAACAAAACAATCCAAATCAAGTTAATAGGCAGGCGAGATGTCTGCAGGAGCTACAGAGCCTTGTGGGAGGCTGAAATGTGGTCAGGCAGTCTTGAGAACCCACTAGGCTGGGCTAATTTGGTACGACTGTTTCTGGAGAGAAAAAGCTGTATCTTCCAAACATGGATGAACTGAACCTAACCTAGTGAGACGTAGTGGTGGGGAACAGGAGAAGGTATGAAATCAGACCTCAGAAGGTCTGAAATCCATGAAGTCAGATTTCAGAAGGCCTGAAGTCAGACATGTCTGGACTCCCAAAGGTGTATGAGGCACCAACCTACAGCTACCTCAGGGAGAAGCCCCCTAAGGGAGAAGCCCCCATCAGGTCTCATACTCATCTCTTCCTTTTGCTCAACTCTACCTGTCCTGGACCTAGTACATTTTAGCCTCACACCTCTTTGGTAGTAAGTATTTTTTATACTCCATCAGGGCAATCTTTCTTCCTATTCCTCAGCCCCAGGGGTTCTGATTTGCCTAAGAACAAATTTCACCTCTCTCACATTCATATTCAGAATGTCTTCTATTCTGCCTTCCCACTCTGAAACCTCTGAGTTTCAGAGGTTTCCAAACCAAGCTTTACTCCCTTTCTTCTAAAGGAATATCTAACTCACTCTTCAGCCAAGTCAGTAAGAAAAAAAAAAAAATCTCCCTCTGTAAATCCTTATCCCTTTCTCATGAATTTGTCACCCAATC